TTCAAAAGCCCACTACAATTAGTATTTTAAATAATCCAGAATTTGGAAGAATGAAAAGTGTTTTTTTTCTTAATCCACATTCTACATACGGTGAAACATTTTTTTCCCCCGGAGACGCCTTAAGTTTCATTCTTAGCAATAAATCAAAACTACTATTTACTCAGTGGAAATATTTAAACACTGTACCTGTTCCAAAAACACTGTCCAACAAAATTTACTTTTCAGATATTCACAAATGCTCATTTGTATGGAAGTCACAAGGCCAATAACATAGATGGACTTCTACAGGATCTCTCCAGAAGTCTGAATTGGGTTTTATTTTATATTTTCACCAATCTACACACCCTCAATTCAGTTTTGTTAGAATGTTAAACAAAAACTGCAAAATACTTTCATTAAACCTTCATTTACATTAATCTATTTAGAACAATGCCACAATTCTGCAATTATGTACACCACTCCTTAACTACGTCCCACAAATAGTCCTTACTAAAATTAGTATTAGCATGCACACAAAATTAAGACTGTCCTTAAATCAAACCAAGATCAGGACTAGAGAGACACTACAGCCTTCAGTGTGACAGAGATTTCTGTATTTCTATTGCTTTCCAATGGAGTATTAACAGTTTTGTGTGCTGAAACTGTAGAAAAAGCATGAGGTAATGCAAGTCCTAGAAGTAATCTGAATTTTAGTGCTATGAGAAAATTTCCCTATAGTCTAAAAAGCCAGTATTATTTCCTCTCTGAAATTTACCAGATGGCAAAACAACCTCACTCAAAAAGCTAAGTGACAGTTAAACAGATTTTTCCCTCAGAAATTAAAAACTCAGATACATAAATGGTTTTAGAACTACAGTCCGTATTTACAATGTTTGTAAATCAGAAATGTTTCTTGAAAAAAAAAAAAAAGTATATTTCCTATTTCAGGAAGTTCGGGGGTGGTGGGGGGGGTGTATTTAATTTGTTATGAATATACTTTAACATATCACTATCCATGGAGTTAAAAAATAAAGGTAGAATTTCCTTTGTAATACTGTCTCCTTAAAACAAACCACAGATCTGTTTTTACAAATGGAGAAACTGAGTCAAAGGCAAACTGACTCACTAAAACATACAGGAAAACTCTGGAATATCTCAAAATTCCCAAGAGGTTCTTAGTGCATAAAATTTTAAATCTATAAAAATAAGCTGTACAATTTAAGTATTTCAATTTTTATTCTTTATAACCTTATTTCATTCCACCCCCCCAAGAACACTTTTTGTGAAGTGTACAAAATTATTTTAATTTTAATCTTGAATCAGACATCTGCTTGAGAACATGACTGAGGCCATGAAGTTGGCCTACACAGCTCTGCAGTCTCTCTAAATCATAATACTAAAAAAATGGTTCACAAGAAGAGGAGCTTTAAGCTTAGGGAACGAAAAACACAAAAGGTTTCCAAAAAGGCCCATACATACTCTTTAGAATCTTATTTGTGTACTTTTTAATAAACAGAGTAAGACATGGTTTATTTAAAAAATCATATCTATATAAATAAGGAAGGTATGATGGGAGCATGCATTACTGGACTATTAACGCACTCCTTGGTGGTTGAAATCACTCAGCCTTTGGCCTCAAAACATGTGAAAGGCATGCATTAACAACGCGCTAAAAGTCTTACTATCTTATTGTTGAACTTCTGGTATACTTTAAACCACACCAGCGCTTCTAAATGGCATCTAAATCACAATTCTTCAGAGACTGAAAACAGTTTTGCCATTTCAATACCTCACTTATGATTGTTTAAATCCAGAAGGTTCCAAAGCTATACTAGAATTCATACCTCATTAAACCAAGGACAAGGTTAAAGACAGTATCATATTAAAAAAAAAAAAAAAGTGAACAATTAATTTTTTTTGTTATTGATTAAAATACACAGTTTGCAAGCTCCATAGTTTGTGTCAGAGTACACTACACCAACTACCAAATAATAAATCCTTGTGACCTCCCTTCCCCCCACCCAAACGTATTTATAGTGGTGATACTAAAAGGTTCATATTTCATTTAGGAAAAAATATAGAGGTTAGAAACTGCACTTTCCCTCAGCATCTGTATGTGTATTACCACATAGACAATTTATAAAACAATATACAAAATAAACTGAAGAAAAATATGTAATACCACGATTAATGGTGGCAGAAGAAATTCCATGTCTTAATAAAGTAACAGGTTATAATCTTGCATGCACTATTTCCGTGAGTATTAAGTTCTTTTAGTATTCTCGAACTATGAATACATGGAATTACTGCCCTGATGTCCAGCAAAGGTATTTCCTGGAAGGTGAACATGACGTTCACAACTGTGATTCCACAAAGAATTTAGCATACTGTTTTAGCGATCTTAATCCACTACTTATTTTGATAAATATTACTGCTTTTATGTCATTAACACGATAGACAGATGTACAGTATCGATCGCAAACGGAGGAGCTTTTCCAGATTATTAAACAGACATATAATATTACCTTACAGCAACCTATACACACCCCTCAAAGAAGCTGCTTGAGTCTGCTGCCTCTTTCCACCCCCCTTTTCCCCGACAAGAGTGGTCTCGTTCACTTGCCTTTCACACACATAACCAATAAAATTAATCAGCTGGAACACAGCATTTTTAAATCGCAGTAAAGTCAAGAGATGTTTTGTACGTTATTTGAAGGGAACAGTCTTTTCATTTAAACATAATAAGACTGTAATATGCTGCAGACAAACGCACTGCATGGGGTGTGGAGGACCCGAGCTGATTAGATTACCACAACATCAGCCTGAGGCCGCCATTTTTAGAATCTCTAAAGGACAAAAGAGGGAAATTAAAAAATTTGCTCCACATTTTTTGAGAAGTAACTTTAAAAGTATAGTGATTATAAACAATTATTCGTGCATTAATCGTACAACCATGGATATCTCTTTCTTTTCTCTGACCTGAGCCCTAAATATCAAAAACGTTATTATTCCTTTAAGGTACTGTAAATAAACAGACTAAAACATTCCTAGATCTAGATGCAGCACTAAACTTCTTCTTTCAACGATACGTAGTATGTACCATTTTAGGGACCTCAGGGCTATTAGCCACCGCACATTTCCCAATGGCTGAGTATGGGAGAATACAGGACCTTTATAATCAGGCTATATTAGGTTTCTCTACCCTATTTAGTACTACACAGGAACCGTTTGTTTCTTCTCCCCTATGTCTGCAGCAATAGGGTCTACCCCACTAATATTTATTTCTTTAAGAAAGAGATTGAAATATGCCATCCGAGGAACACGAACACTAGCTGCAGAAACTAAAGCAAGAAAGGGATGCACCAATATAACTACTTACACCCTCAAGAAAGGGGGTGGAGAGAATGATCCCCTTTTAAATTGGCACAGAAACTCTTGAAGACTGCTTTCCGTTTGTCCAGGTTACACCACGAAGCGGAGATATTAGCAGAGAAGGAGGAAAGGAGGCGGGGGTGTCGAAGGCAGAGAGATTAGGCCTATAACGAGCCATTTTAGTACCACAAAGCAAAAATATACAGGATGGAGGAAGAGAATAGGCTTCCTCAAGCTTCATAAAACTCAATACGCAGTCCCAGTAACACACAAACCCGTTCTTAAAATCACCAGTCTAAGGAACTGTGTGCTGTCACATAATAGCCTCTTTTGGCTCTTTTTTCAAGCATAATGCATAAATCTGGCATAACTGCCAAAAAATTCTCCTCAGCTCCTTCAGTTACAGTAACCCGCCATATTCACAAGATATAGCGACAGCCTGCCATTTTTAACCAAACCCCACAAAAGGAAAAACAAATTAAAGGCAACTTAAGCAGTCTTTAAACACATTTCAGAGTGGAAGGGAGCTATACTCGCACCGGGGGTAACGAGACGTTCCCGTGGCATTTCACTCCCTTTCTGCCACCCCCCTCCCCAAAGTACCCATAGCAGAATACGTTCGTAATAATCAAAGACTCACCTGTAATGGTCACAGGCCAGGCAGCAGGACCCTTCAGCTGAGCCCCTTCTCTATCCCAACCAAAACAATGCAAAAGCCCCACTGCGGATATCCCTACCCTAGACAGGACTCAACCCTCAGCAGGCTCTAGTAAAAGAAAGAAAAGGGAAAGAAAGGAAAGAGGAGACCCCCCCTCCCCCCAAACCTATCTCAGTGCGCAGAACCCTGCAGGGACCAGCTCGGAAGCGCCTTTGCCTTGGGACCTGTGTACAAACCCCGCTGCCGCTGCTGCTCCCGTGTCTCCCTCCTTTCAGCCTCCTACGCTCCCTTCTATGTCACTGCCTCTCTCTGGGAAAATGGCGTCCACTCTCCCCTCCCTCCCACTGCACGGGGCTCACCCGCCCCGCCTGGCAGGGGCAGGGTTACCAATGCGAAGCCAAAAAGCCGCCATTTTGCTTATGGGCTGGGAGCGCAGTCTGCGCCCGCCGAGCCCTCAGTGTCCATTTTGCAAGAGCGCTTTGCACGTTACGCTGAACGGCCCGGCCTGGGCGCGGCCGAGACACCAGACTGCGGCAGGGGCTGAGCAGGGGGGCCGTGAGGAGGTGTGGAGGGAAGTAGGGCAGCGGAGGAGGGGTGGCTGCAGCTGGGGCTGGTGCCGGGGGCGATCCGCAGCCCCGGAGGCGCAGACGGCGGGGGAGGGGCAGGGGCTCAGGCCCGGGCTGTTGTGGGAACCGAACCTGGGCGGGAGGATGTGTCTGACTCAGTACTGCATCCTCCGAGGCAGAAGCGCCAAAACTCCCTCCTCAGCCGCTCTCCTCACCACCACCTCCGGCTTCCTCCTCAGGGCCGTCGTGAGTCTCAGCATACCTATTCTTCATGAATCTCAACCCGAGGAGTAAATTTTCGCTACAAAGTACGCGACAAGCCCGCCAGATCTCACACACGCAGAGGAACTTACTTGAGGGGCGGGGAAGGGGGGG